AGAATGACGGTCTAAAATAATTTATTCATAATTTCTTCAAAATAAGAATGCTATTGGAAGTAAATGAAATGACACATACCATAAAATCACACTTATCTCAAATTAAAATTTAAAAGATCTGAGTGGATCAGTTAATATAAAAAATTGTAAGTTTTGTTAATAAAGACATGCTGTCTTTTTAAAAAACAAAGTGATTTCCAGGTTGCATTAATGAAGACAAGAAACTTTTACTTTTTTTAAAAAAGTGATTTTTAACTACTGTGCATCAACTATGCAACTATTCTCTTACGAATGTGATGCGTGCTCATTTCTAAGTGGAATATGTCGTTATCTAGCAAGTTTTGCATAAGAAGATGTTGAAAAAGACATCATAGAGTGTTAACTTATCACTAATAGTACTTTAAAGCTTTCTTGAAGATAGCCATAATCTCCACGCACCTATAGGTTCAAACTTCAATTAAAGATCCCACTGATTTTTAGTCCTACTTTATTTTTATTTTCCCAGCATTGAATAGTTTTTGTGTTTTGGTTGTTCTAGTGGCTACAGTTCATCTCTGATCTTTTGGCTAAGAAAGCAAAGCTCCATGAAAATGAATGAGAACCATTTTGAAAGAACTAAAGGAAAGATTGCTATTGATGGTCAGGGAGTATATTCTATTTGATTCATTGTATTCTAAAATGGTAGTCCCCAAGTCTGATCTACTTAATGCACTACAACTATCTATTCTAAGAACTAAAGTGAAAGGTGAAAGGCTCTATTTCTGTCAAATTTTTCATAGTAAAAAATATTAAGATGATTCCCTGTAAATCATTGTCGCTTAACATTGAAAAACTCACACTCTCTTTTGAGAAACATAAAAATCTCGAAGTTCTCCTTCAAAGCTATTCAAAATGTATAAATAAATGATCTATTATAAACAACTAGTAAACAAAAATTTTAAAAAATTATATTTTCTTTTGATCTTGGAAGATACTTTACATCGATGCTGTTACTCCAATCATTAGAAGTCAGCATGACAATTAAAGTTGTCTGTGTATCTCACAAACTTTTCTATCCTTGTGAAACAACAAAGAACAACATTGAGTAATTTCACCATTGTTTGTTGCATTGCTTTATTTTCATAACCAGAAGAGCATGTAAAGATAGATAGACATAGATAGATGATAGATAGATAGATAGATAGATAGATAGATAGATAGATAGATAGATAGATAGATACTCTCCTTTTAAGGGAGGAGATGTTGCCCTCATTCCCTTGAATATTATTGATTTAGATAATTCCCAAAGAAATGTATCATCAAAACTACATGATTTGAAAAACTTCTCAAAATTTCCTTTAATCGGTTTAGACAAATTACTGCCAATTCTATTTCACTTAGTTCTGCATAGAGCTATTTAAAGACTTTCAATACACAATCAGGAAACCAAGTTGGCGTGGCTGCCTAATACAGAAGATAGAATTTACTCAAAATGTTGCAACTCAAGAAACTCAGTTTGAAATATATTATTTAAGGACACACACTGTATTGAAACACAATTCACATCATGCTGGAATGACATCTATCATAACAGCTAATGTTTGGTGAAATTACACAGTCCATTGAAAAAAATCTAAAGTTCTGGCTCCTAGATATTCCATTGGCCTTATGGTATGCCATTGATAGTGAGATACTTTCAAGAATATATAAATTATATATTTATAAATAATAATCCTAACATAACATAATATACTGGATATACATAATCCATGTATATTATATATATAATATAATCCATAAAATTTCCTAAACATTTTAAATGCTTCTTTTAATCCACAAGGTAGTGAAAATACATTTTAAAAAATAAACTAACATACCTTGATTCAAGTGACAATTGCGTCTGAGACTGAAAGAGTAATTAAAATTTTTGCACATATCTTAATGTCTTTTCCAGTTATATACTGATCTTCTCTAGGTATATACTGATCTAAAGTTTTAGAACTCAAAGACTATATGTACTTTGCACAACAAAATTCAATCATAGCATCATCATTTGGATTTATCTAAAAATAAATGTTTAAACTAAAATTGTTTAATAATCTCATGTCTGAAGCCTAAATATTATAGTATATATGATTAGAGTATGCTCTAAAGAGTTCTCTAATCAAAGGTTTCTAACTCGACATTTTTTGAAAGTATTAACAAAATGGCCTATGGAAAGATTCCTTAAGGCTTTAGAAAGATATACAGGACATGTTGAAAAACTAAGGTACATAATACAGAAGAGACTCATACAGCTTTCACCTGAACATTTAACTTGAGATTATTTAAAACAGGGCATTTCTATCTATTAAAATCCTCATAGTTGTGAAAGACAAGAATTTATTTTATACAGATTAGGTATGATATTTGTATACCTAATATTAGTACTACTGGGCATTACTCACTATGAAATAAGAAAATGTAATAGATATTCAGTAAGCATTTTACTTACTAATTATGATTCCACAATTTCTTTAACTTTTTGTTCTCAGATGTCAAATACTTACCTAGAAACGGCCAATCATTTGGCTGCTATGAGTTTTAAGATCAGTTGGCAGGTTTTTTTTCTGTCTTTCAGAGAATTGCCATCTTGAGTTCTGCCTCAAGGTAGTGAAAGTTAACTTTGTTACCCATCTGGGGATTTATAGTACTTATACTAGAAGATACTCCAAGGTTTCAGAAAGGAATTAATTACTTTCAAGTTGCACAGTTTAGAACAAATATCTGGCTTTTCCCCAAGCTTAATGATTTTCCATTTCATACAACTAAAATATAATAGCATTATTTTATAAACAAGTTTAACTGATGATTCTATGATATTAGAGCCATTTAGTGTTTTGACAAAAATCTTATGAGAAATGAAGTCATTCAGTTTGCAGCCCCAAACTGAAGCTCGAACACAACATTTTAAAAGTATTTTCTGCCTGTACCTTTGACTGCGTGCTACTTTAAATAGAGGGACAAGACTAAATGATCTATCTGGTTGTTCTTATACTTTATAAAGAGTTAAAAGCAAATTTGAGTTATAAATATGCACATTATAATGATCATTAGTTTATCACAAATAAATATTGATTTGCTTAATCAAAGAGAATACTCTCCTAGAATAAGGGCAGTATTTCAATCAGCAAACATGTTTCTTAATGACACTGAGCATTTAGCCTATCTTCACACACACATTTCATAACCTTTCAAGGACAATCTTCTAAATCACATTTTAAAGAAATACACTGAAAAAGCAATCCATTTTGCAATAGCATTTTACATTACTACAAATTCATGAAGTTAAACCTTTAATGCCCATGTACCTTTCACGAAACTATTGATCATTTCCTAACAATGCTTTACCGGATTATATCACAAAGGAACACATAATATATGTATGTGCATCAATGCATAAAGGAGAGGACGCATTTCTTTGTATACTATGTGAACTGACAATGCCCACTTGCCCAGTCCTTGCTTTACTCAACTTCTTACACATCAACAGCCAGCTGCCCTGTTGATGATTCCTTGCACCTTTTGTGCTGCTTTATCATTGAGTCAGATTACTACCATTTCTGGTCCAGAACTCATTAAGAAAATTCCTTTTTCAAGCAAGTTCTTTGAAATGTAGTTGTACACCTATGAAAGAACTATCTGGAGCTCATCTTGAGAGAGAGAGAAGATGAATTTATCCTCTGTCTTTAGGCTTTTTCTTACAGAGCCACACCTTTATAAACAAGTTCTGTCTGTCATACTGAGAGGAAGGAGATACTCAAAATGTAACATCTGGAGTCATAAAACGTAATGACCTCAAATAACATTCTAGAAAGAGAAATGAAAACTAGTTCTGGTTAGGGAGAAGATAAGAGAGTAAAAGGAGCAAATTTACATCATTAAAACAAGAGTAATAGAAAACCCTACCGGGTTTTTCCAGTAAGTTTTGTGCAGCAGCAGCAACAACCTAAACAATACGTGCTTCCTCACCCTCTTGTCCCCGAAGAGAAACTGCTGGGCCCCTCCTCACCGCCTCCCCAGGAGCAGAAACTATTGCCCCCAAGGAAGGGAGAATTCAGAAGCGTGGGAAGGGGGAAAAACAGGTATATGTGGTTCTAGCATCCTCATCTTCATATCAGCTACCAGCCTGAAAGTACATTCAGGAAGCAGGCTCCCAGACATTCTCCGGCCCTGGGCCCTGCCAGAGGTGCCAGAGAGCTTGAGGAGCCTGCGGCATAGTTCTCAGACCCGAAACAATGACCTCCCCACTCCAAACCCAGGCACTCTCGCGCCAAGGCCCTAACCTCTCAGCGAGACCTCTTTGGGGTAGGACAAGAGATGCTGCCTGATGGCCGAGAGAAGACATGCCAGGCTTCTCTGCCAGAATGAGTTGCTGAGGGTGGGATGAAGGTGGTCAAGGAGATGGGCTATTTAATTTTAAAACAAAAAAACAAGGCAACTGGGACCCCCAACACCAGTCACCCTCACTCCCCACCACTGTCCCTATTCCTTAAGGACTTCTTCGGAGGCCGGCGGCGGCGGCGGCGGTAGCTTGCGATCATCAGGATTGGGAGTGAGAGCGAGTGCCCGGGCCAACCTCAGCGTCTCTCAGGGACAGCGCAGGTGGGCGCAGCCTTGGAAGGTCAGCGAGGCCAGAGCTCAGAGTTCCACGGGGACCCGGAGAGGGTGCGTGTGTGAGTGAGAATGCGAACACGCGCGCTCGCCAGGCGGAGGGGCGCTCGGCGAGACGGTAGGCGCGGCGACAGGGGTACCCCAGCAGTCAAGGAGAGACAGCATACCCCACCCTTTAAGCTAAAGAGCTGGAGGGGTGATGGAGGCTGCAAGACTGAGAAACTTCATGCAAAACAGACAGGCTTCCCCCTCCAAGACGTGCCGCCACGCTCTCAGACACGCTCCCTCGCCTCCCGGATTACCCACCACGAGCCACTCCACCCTGCAAAATTCCCCACCGAGCCCTAGGATCCCAGGCGGGTAATTACCTCTCCCGGAGGCGGAGTAGGGGGCGGCAGCAGCAGCAGACACTTTTAGCCTGACTTTCCTGCGTTCGCTTGTGAGCGTGTGAGCGTGTGCGCGCCCAGGAGGAGCTGTAACCTGCTATTTATAGACCGAAGCCTCAGCACCCGGGGCTGAGAACCCGGAGGAAACTAGCAGGCGGCGGTGACGGCGCAGGGCGCGGGCCGCGGCTTCGCGAGGCTCCAGCAGCTCCCCCAGCCTCTGGCTTCGGCCGCGCTCCCTGCTCGCTCCACGCCTGCCAGCCCCGCGCGCGCCCCAGAGAAGTTGTCACCAGCGCGGCTGGCTCTCCGGCTGCTCACACGCCCCCTGGCACAATTGCTACTTTCTTCCCCCCCCAACCCCCACCCTCCCCGCTCCTCTTCCTCCTCCTCTGCTCTCTCCAAGCGGTCTCCTCCCAATGTCACCAGCGACCGAGTAGAGGCGGCCGCGGCAGCGACAGTCGCGCAACTGGCGCAGCTCGCTTCCCGCTACTGATAGAGCGGAGACGGTGGCCGGGCTGCCCACCCCGAAATCACCACGCTGGCTCCGCGTGCTGAAACCCCGCACCCCGACCCCTTTCTGCGGCCCCTCTGTCCGCTGGGTCTGACACCCAGACTGGGCTGTGGGATCACCGCTACCGCGAAGAGGGCGGACCCGAGGCCGCCACGCTGCCACGGGGGCAGGAGAAACCACAGAGAAAGAACCCGCGGGAGGAAGAAAGCGCCCCAGTCCCCGGCCTATGGCAGCGCAGTCCCCAGACCGAGGGTTTTTTGAAGGGGCTTGGAATCCCTGCTGTCACTGCCTGCGTCTAGGCATCCATTCACGCCCGCAGGACCCCCGTCTGCAGCCGCGCTGGCACCCCTGTCTCTTGCCTCTCCTCCCCCTTGCCCCGGGCGGAGGTCGGGCTGGGGAGACCAGCTCAGAACAGACCTCGGCCACCCACCGCCAGTCCCCACGTCGCGGCGGGTGACTGAGGCCGAGATGCTCCCAACTAGCCTGTGACATGCCTTTGATATCCCTGGTGCGTGGGGACAAATCCGCCCTGAGTGTGTTGGGGTATCAGGAAAACGGCGTATGTAAGCAAGCAGTCTGGACGGAGACTAAAACTCCCCCACTTCCTAGCCAACAAGCCCACAGGGGAAAGCACGCACCCTGATTATTCCGGGCTGTGTAGGGTGTGGGGCAAATGACTCTCCCCATCTGCGCCTTACAGGTGCCACCTGGCGGCTCTCTCGGAAAGGTTTTGATGGAGCCGTTCAAAGGTAAAGGTGCCCAGAGTCAGCCCATAAAGACACCCCAGCCCTTCTCCCTGAGGGCGTTTTAAATTCACTGTTTAAATAAAGCAGTGTACGAATGCTTGTACACAAGTGTTACATTTGCCATGCAAAAAGACTGGAATCTCAAAGTCAGGACAGTGAAATCAATTTGGGTTAAGTCGGGGCTTAACAGTTTCACAAACTAGGAAGCTATATGTACCCCCAGCTGTCACCCCTACTGTCACTGCCTGCATCTAGGCATCCTTTCACTCCTCAAACATTTGACCATCACATTATAAGCCTTGCCAGTGAGGACAGGGACTTTGCGGGGGGTTTTGTTTTGTTTTTGTTATTTTGGAGGGGGGAGTTGTTTGTTCGTTTCATTTATTTTTCTCACCACTCTGCTCCCAGAGCTTGGGACAATAACTAATATTCTATAGTTTCAATAAATGTTTATAGAATAAATTAATAAACACTATAGGCCAGAAATTGCTTGGCGCCCCTGAAGCCCTTCCCTTTGTTTCTCTTCAAGCCTTTTCTCCTATGCTCAGCCTCTATCCCAAGTGAGCTGAATGCAGAGAGATAGGAGAGTGAGGAACAAATAAACAATCCCTGTCAAGATGTGGATCAGCTTTGAGAAGCCATCACACAGTTAGATTTCTCCTCCATGGGGCAGCACTGAACACACCCATCTCCAAGCAGTGGGTAAGTTCTGTTCATAGAGATCTGCTGGAAAGATGATAGAACTTTCTCACTGGGCGGTTTCTGATTTTTCTCACAAGAGAGACATTGAAATAATATCAGGACATTAGGATGTCAGAGCTTTGTTACTAAATTGGAAATATAGTTAACATATCTGTCCTCTAACTTTAAGTGGAAGAGTGTGTGTGTGTGTGTGTGTGTGTGTCTGTGCACGTGTGTGTGTTTATGAAGACTACAGCAGCAATCCCAGAAATACCAAACCATACCTCCTAAAAGACTGAGTGGTAAATAAATGCAGTTACTGATTCTATGGAAATGAGTTTAAAGTGAAATGCTTAGATGACCCTATTATAATTAAAGTCCAGACATGGACCATGCTGCCGAAGTCCTTTTACACGGCGGCTGAGAAATATGTGACTTACCTATGCATATCACGTAAGAAGTTTGAATTCTGGGAAAACAGAGAATATGAATCAGGATGCCATCAGATGCATGTACCACAAGGCATTTTTAAAAATCCATCAATCATCCTGATATTTACCTTTTTTAGTTATTTGGTGGCTTTTTCCTTGAATAAGCCTGGAGAATTCGGATGCTCCCACGGTTTAATAAACTCATTCAGCATTCACTTTTACAAACCTTGAACTTTTGCCCACTTGTACCCCCAAAACATAACTCCATTTGCCAATGAAGGACAAAATATTTTTCATCTCCTTTTGAAATATCTTTGTAGGGCCAGAAGTCAAAGGTGATTCCCTGCAGGTACCTTGCTGTCTAAAACAATAAAATCAAGCTAGGATCTACAGGGCTGTTGTCACACTCTCCTTTGCAGTGAAGCAGCCTACACTGTCTCCATAGATTCATTGTTCCTCTAGATTTTTATCTCAGGTGAGATTAATATGACATCATATCTACACTTTTATGATCCTTCACTATTCAAAATCTCTTCTAGAATACAGCACCAAGCATCATGTAGGTTTTTTAATGCTTATTCAGTTATGTTAATGATAACTCATAAAGTAAGTCTTTGTTTTCATCTCAATTTTTAAAAACTTAAACATTACAGAAACTTTGTTATGTATACATTAGCATCATCTCTTGTGTATATGATTGTGTGTGTATGTGTGTATTTAAATTAAGAGGGATGTTGTTAGAAATAAGAACTAACTTAAGTAAAAAGGGTAAATTATTGTAAAGATACTTGGCTGCCCCATGGAACCCCAAAACAAGAATGCAACTGGGCACTAGCAATGACTGGAAAACAGAGACAGGCCATTAGAAATTTCTCTGTCTCTTTTCCCCCACCACACTAACTGTTCCATTCTGTATCTCTCTCCTCTTTCTCTCTCTCCCCACATACATTGTCTCTCTCTGCTTATCTGGTGTGCACCAAAGTGCATGGTTGCTAACGACTCTTAAACTTTATAACTTGTGAACCAGTTCCAAATTCTCCAAGTACTGTGATTCTTCCAGCTACCAAACCCCAGCCAACGACCTTGGCCAAGGATAGTAACCAAGTGACATTTTCATAGTACCTATGTAGTAATCAGGTAGATTAGAGTGGTAGGCTGAAGAAGAAGAAAAAGATGAAAATTCCCAAAATGAGGGGAGGAATACAGGTCATTCCTTACCACTACTATCTCCTATTCCTGGTTGTTTCATGAACATTGACACAAAAGGCAAAAGAAAGTAGGAAAAAGAAATATTAAAAAAGCAATAATTTCTATGGTGTATTAATGCATATGCATGTTTGAATATTGAATAAGATGGAATGCTTCTTACTGCTGGTAGTGCTCGAAGATAGCTGTTCCCAGTATAAGTAGCAGTATGATTTTATGATCTCTTAGCATGGGACTGGGTGAGTATGAGGAAGAAATCAAGTTTTTCACAGACAGTTTACTTTAGCTTCTTTTTTCATGGCAAATTAAATAAGAGATTTTTAAAAGAAAACAAATGAGTGTGCTACAATTTTACATTTATTGAAAATAAACTTTAGTGGCTCTCTCACTTGGCATAGTATATTTGTAAAATTGTATGTAAATCATATATTTGAAAATGAGTCATATTTCAAATATAATACAGTTGTGAATCTTAACATTTTGCAGTCATAAATCCATTGGAGAATTTGAGGAGAGTTGTAGACTCATTTTCCAGGAAAATATGAGCATGCACACACACAGTTAACCCATGGGATGTTAGATGACATATTTATTCGAGATCTGGAACTTAACACTTCATATTGCTTTTGTCTTCTCCCAGTCATTTCTATTCGAACAAATGAAATAAACACTCTAGATTCTTAAACAAAACCTTCAAAATGCCCAGTATGTACAAGTCAAAAAATGGATTGGGGTGGGGAACATATAGGAACGCAGGGAACTAGCTCCCTCTTCCACCAGCTCCTGCTCCAATGAGACCTAACTAAACTGTAGTAGGAAATGAAGATTGAGCTCTTAGAAGGACGGGAGAGAGTTATAATGTGGGGAATGCTGTATTCGTCCACTAGGGCTGCTATAACCTATTACCAACAGGTTTGGCGACTTACACAATAGAAATATATTTCTCACAGTTCAGGAGGCTGTAAGTCAAAGCCCGAGGAATAGGCAGGTTTGCTTTCTGAGGCCTGTCTCCTTGGCTTGCAAAGGTAACTGTCTCACTGTGTTCTCATGTGTTCTTTCCCGTGTGCATGTGCAGCGCTGGTGTCTGTGTGCGTCTAAATTTCCTCCTCTTATAAGGACACCAGTCAGACTGGATTAGGACCTGCCCTAATGGCCTCTTTTTAATCCTATCGTCTTTTAAAGGCCCTATCTCCAAATGCAGTCATATTCTGAGATACTGGGTTCTAGGGTTTCAACATATGAATTTGATGGGGACAAGATTCAGCCCATAAAAAATGTGCACTATAACAAACTACAGGAAGGGTCTAGGGGTGAAGTTTGAATATAAATTTCTCCCTTATGTAGAAAGGACCCAAGAGTAAAAATACTTGTACTGTTTTCCCCTTGGAGTATCGAGAAGGCAAGGGTGTAAAGTGGGAATATAAATGCTAGCATGCCTTATCTAGATCCTAAAGGGCCAACGATCCCTGGGATTTTGTTGCCTAAGTGATGAGGAAGAGACTGTGGTTCCTTTGGACTGTAGGAGGCCTGGAAGTTAGTCAGGAGTGACAGCCAGCAGGACAGGTAATCACCAAGAGGTCCCCTGGGAGGGCAACCAGATTAAATGCCAAGGAAAGGGCGTGGTCTGTCTATGGAAA